TTGTTTTATATATCGACGCTTGAAAGGCAAACGTGACTAAGCGACAATAACTGCTTTATACATAAATGATAGGCAATAACCATATTCGATGCGCAAAAAATATATATTTCTAATCTATTAAAATCATTTCAATCCTACAGCTAGATTCGTTAAAATAAATTTTTGTCGGGTATTTCAACTTTAAATTAGTCTACTGTAAAGTTCACGAATTGTCGCTTAGTCACGTTTGCCTTTCAAGCGTCGATATGCTGTCGAAGTGGGAGTGAGAGGTACCTTGAGTACCCGCCATCGGAGCAGAGTTCATCCATATTATCTGGAACCGCTGCGTTCATCGACGGTGTGTTTTCAAAGATTTCTAAAGAGTTTCCATCCGGCTTTGGAATGAACTCCTCTCCACGGTGTTTTCCGAGCGTAATGGCATGTCCTTCTTCAAACGAGGCTTGCGGAGAGTACTTAGTGGTAAGCAGCGCCTTGGCTCTGCCCCTGGCATTTCCAACGTCCATGAGCGACGGTGACCACTTACCATCAGGTGGGCCGTATGCTCGTCTGCCTGCAAAGGCAATAAAAAAAAACATATACCAGCGAAATCTCTCTATAATCTACTTAAAGACCTTGGCTTGTCAAGAGCTCCCATAAATTTTATACTTGAATAAACAACTAAAGCCGAACTGGTAGGTTCCTATCACATTTGGATAGGCAGGGAAAGGAATGCCGAGAATCGAGGTGAGCGTAATGTGTATTGATAGGGTCCCTTAAACCTAGATCAAGGTCGCAAGTCCACTGGTATTCTCTAAATTCTTCTTTCAGCAACGATGGACCCAGTCACTGCACGTTGAATCCATGGATTGCTAAGATATTCGCCCTTCAAATCCTATCGACATCACAACATGAATACTGCTCCCTTTCTTGAGAGATTTCGTTTAAGTCACAATTATAAACTACTAACTGTACTCGTCCGGTTCGCTGGTCATTTAAAATTAACATTATTATTTCTCACCCCCACAAAGATTCTCATCATTAACGCCCCCGCAACTGGTGTAGGGAGTCCAACACCCATATAAATATTAGCCTATCCTTTTTTTTTCCTACCTAAGCTGATAGCCTTGAGAGGCTATTCAGCGGAACCTTAACTAGTAGGTGAGCTCACGGGGCTCAAACCTAACACGAAACCTAGCAAGAGTCCTACCACCGGATCGGAAACGCGACCCATTGAGAAGATCCGGTGAGAAGCTCAGTGGGCTGTGTCTGAGGGTTAATTTACTCGTCGAGCCCTTCGTCGCAAGCGACGGGTTCGACGAGAACGATGACCGGGGTTAGCCTATCCATTAAGTACATGTATTTTCTGCATGGATACGAAGATTCAAGTCAATCGGATGCATGGTTCAGTAGTTATAACGGAACATCCGTAAAAACCACTGTAGATTTATATATTAGTATAGATAAGATCTGTCCCACCTTCGGAACCGGAACGCATTACTGCGACGCGGTGGTTCTTTCCACCCGGTCTCCCAAGGTCTACCGGTAGTAAACAAAATGCGAAAAGGAAAATATTACGAAACAACTCCGCAAAGAAACGATGTTAAACTGTCATTACCGCAAAACCGTTGAGCTGTTTGTGGTTCGTTAAAGCTGAGAATTTACCGCAAAGTCACTTCTTCCGGCAAATTTCGTGAATAACTATGCTTAATAATAGTTCACGGTTAGTTCACATTACAAATTAAACCGTTCGGGATTTTTGTAGCATTGATTGCTCGAGTAATAAGACGCTGGTTGCTCGTGTCTCCTTAGCAAAATTTAGTTGTGGTTTGTAACGGCTCTCGTGATATATTGTACACAGAAAAGATTTTTTTCTTATTTAACTCGACTTCAGTAAGTTGTATTCGATCGATGAATTTTAGTCTCGTTTTCTTAAAATATTCAATTTTTTTTTGTTTGTGTTATTGGACCATCGATATATTAATATGGTAATATATCGATGTATTGGACGTTTAGTATCGAAGTAGTTGCTACGCCAAACCAGTGGAGTTACTAATAAACGAATAAGTAATGGTTTTTATTGCTTAGTTGGGTGGGCGAGCTCACAGCCCACCTGGTCTTAAGTGGTTACTGGAGCCCATAGACATCTATGACGTAAATGCGCCACCCACCTTGAGATGTAAGTTCTAAGGTCTCAGTATGGTTACAACGGCTGCCCCGTCCTTCAAACCGAAACGCATTACTGCTTCACGGCCGAAATAGACAGGGTGGTGGTACCTACCCGTGCGGACTCACAAGAGGTCCTACCACCAGTAAAACTAAGCATAAGAACTAAATACGGTCCATAACAGCTACCAATTTTACTAAACACGTAATAACGCGTGTCAATATTCGACATCCACGATGAAGGACTAAAATAGTGTAATAATATTGTTTTATTTAATTTTAGTTATTTTACATTTTTCGATTATTTATTTTGCGGACACTATGATAAAATTTAATAATATACTTTATGTTACTCCTACAACAGTGACGTATGTGAATCTGCTAAATAACTTCTCATATTATGTTGTTTACTTAATACGTACGCTCAAAAAGCATTACCTTTCTTTGGCAGTCGGGTCAATACACTCAGCGAGTCGAATTTTTCATGGGATCTATGGCATGTTATTGAATATTTGTAATTTATCCCTTTCTATTAAGCAAGATGGAATCGTTGGTTCTTCTGGTACTCTTCTTCTGAACCAATTACCCCATTTACACTATTGAAATGTTGAGTAAGAGAATTCGTCCTAATTAATTGAATTGAGACTTCATCGCCTATCTAAAGTCTCACAGCAGCATTCGTATTTGGCTATTGGCTGTCGTAACTGTTTGACATCTACTCTTAACATCAGAAGTTTTGTTTGACAATCTTCGCAAAAAATACAAAAATTCTCACGTATTCGGTGAAAGTTCGAACAGCATAGTAAGAAACCGATACTTGTATAATTTATTTAACGATTTTCTCTTCTTTCTGCAAAGGAAACAACTTTCAGTTCGCTCCAGTTCGCGAGAATGTAAATTACTTTATATCATTCAATCGAAATACCGATGGTGCTTAATCAAGCGACATACCGAATATAATAGCTGGTCTAAAGGTTTCTTCATTCATTTCTGTGACGTGTTCAATGAGCCGTCTCATTATAATATACGTACATTACATTATACATAGTACAACAGAGTTCGTAGTACAATTGACCACAATTGTTCAACTCATACTTTCACGACCATAAATGATCATTCTTTTAATACAAGCGTTAGTGAAAGCGATATCGTAATGCAAAAAAATAAATAATGAAAATTCGTGTCATTGCTTTCCTATCAGCTTTCAAAGACGACGCAATGCTCTTGACCCGCATAAATTTAATTGAAAATTATATAAATGATTCGTTTTGACATTCACGAAAACATTCATTAATCATTATTTTTTTTGCACCGGTATCTATATTTCGGATGCCTCTCTCTGATAATACTTTTCACTTCATTTTGTTTTTGTTTAAATTTATTTTTAATATGTATGAATGTTTTATAGTTACGATATCACTTTTATATCATACTGCTGGAACATCCTGACACATATGGAACATAAGTCGGTACTCTGAGATATCAAGCAAATTCAATATGTAGGTAATTCAACCGGCAATGGGATTCGGGCCCAGTCGTTATGCGCGAAACATCAAAACATTAGTTTGTTATTAATGACAATTTTGCTATTGACAATTTGTTCGTTACACGCTATATTTTTATTCGATTCGAATTTTTTCAGCTTTATTACGTAAGATTTACGATGTTCTAGATATAGGCATCTAAAGTACTACTTTTGTTTTTGTCTGCTAGATTATCAATAAACCAGTCGTGGTAAATTGATTAACACAATTGAATATGCAATTTCGAAAAGGGTACATGTCGCATATTTTGTCAAATACGTTTTTTCATATACATACATGTAGTTTTGAGGCTTACCTACACCCATATTTCCTGAAAATTTTACATTTTCAGAGATGTGCCCTTTTCGAAATTGCATCTTCAATAAAAAAGAATATTGGATCAATCATACTGCATATTTTACATATATGATTTTATTTACGTTCATAAAGCACGAAGCCCGAACGAATTAATGCCAAATCACTCAATTATTGAAAGGAGCCAGTAGTTTACAACTTCTAGTATCTTACGAACTGCACACGCCCACTTCATTACAAATTACAGTCTATTAAGATTTTAAAGCGCCAAATTGAGCCGGTAATTTATTGTGCTCGAATGAATGCGTTTCCTCAATAAATAACGCCAAATTAGAGATTGTAATTTCATTCTATTGATAGTGTCTATCGTATGAGAATCGGATTCTTTGACCGGCTTTCAATTTTTATTCATTGTCCGTATGATATTCGTGAACTTTGAAAATTAGGACGATGCGTTTTCATGTACAAACCGCCTCAGTACAATACCGAATGTTTTATCGTGATACTTTCTAAGAACGTTTGTGTATTTTTTTCAACTTGGAATCTTGGCCCGCGGAGCGGAGTCAATGATCATCGTGATCTGATTTGTTTTTTTTTCTGTATTTTTCGATAACGATTAACTTTCTAAGGAAGTGATATTTATGGCATACCCATTACTGGAATTTGTACTTAAGAATATTACAACGGTTTTAAATACGAGTAGTTTTGTTGTAGCCTTGTGAGTCTGATTAAAAAAAAATATAATCTCAGAAATTAAATTATTCGTAAAAATCAGGCCGCCCGTCCATATACCATAGATTATAGATAGAGTATTATTTATTTATACCAATAAAGATGGCGGGAAACTTATAATACAACAAAACATGCGATATTAAAAAAATGTATCATATTTTTCCTTAATTTTTTCATTATTATTGAAAGTTGTTAAACATTATTATGAGAAGCTGTAGTTTAATTTAAAAACAGTCTGAACGTCATTAACATGTTTTTTTTTCTTTCACAGGAAGTAATACCGTCAACATGAAGAGCAAGGCGCTTAGCTTGGCGCCTTTAGCACTGTTGCTACTAATACAAGCTTCATCTGTACTTAGTGAGTAGCCATTTTAACTTTTTAGCTGTTTCTTGCCTACCAATATTACGAAACAATTTTGTTATCTTAATAAACAATAAACTTAACATATAATGAGGAAGTTTAGATTCGTCATTCCGTTGGATCCTAACAAAATTTAGTAAAGAAATGTGATGAATAATTATTTTCGGAAATAGAATATAAAATGAGTTTATGTTTTAATTTCCTAGGTCGGATAGCGTTCGAGAAACTGACGGATGTGGACTTCAGTGGTACTGCGTATTACACCGTGCGGAACCTGTCCTTATACGAGTGCCAGGGCTGGTGCCGAGAGGAACCTGATTGTCAGGCGGCTTCCTTCAGGTGCGGTGAATTAAAAAAATAAATAATAACGCGAGGTTTGCGCGCCTCGTAGATATAATTAAAACAATTTTCATGTGTAGGAAATTGCCTTGTATTTTTTTTATTATCGCTGATAGGCAAACGACTTACGGCTCGTACCCAAGCGTAACTCGTAATTGCTCACTATTGCTCATGAATGTCGAGATCATGGTTAAGTTCGAACAACTTAACTTGGTTTCCAACTTTTTTTTTTGTTTCTTTACTTAGACGGGTGAACGGACCTGCTTACTTGATGTTGATTGGTTTCTGGAGACCATAAACATTAACAACGTTAACCACATTAAGATATAAATTCTAACTCTTATTTATAATAGTAGTAATAGTAAAATGGCTGCCTCACCCTTCAAACCGAAATGCATTACTAGTTTGCAGCATAAATAGGCAGGGTAGTGATACCTACCCGTACGGGCTCATAAGACCTCCTACCACGAGTACTTCCACTACTATTTATTTATTTCTTAATTTTAGACTTGATTTGTTACGTAACTTAGGTTGTTAATGTGATGATCAATTATAAAGTTTAAAATGTTGTTTATTCAAGCTAGCCTTTTTGACTGTCAAATTGTCATCCACCTTACCACTTATATATTTTATGACGATAACTAGCATAGCTAAAGGTTTACGTTGCTCGCAGAATAAGCGGTCGCTGGGCCCAAAATTTACTGGCGAATTTTCTAGAAATCTTAGCGTGGGTACGTCTTCTATAAGGTAGACTGATGACCCATTCAATTCGCGGGTGTCGACTGGAGGCAGGCAGTGCAGTACTGGTCGTCGCGCCAAGCCTTGGGGAGCCCTGTGCCCAAGCCGTGGCTGGAGGCTAATAATAATGATATTTAATTGGAAGTAATCGTTCGTTAGACTTTGGTTCTCTGGTGCATGATAGTGGTTTATTCCCCACCTATCTTTCAGTAGCCTTATGGGGCGCTATTTTGGCTTTACCTTGATTATTGAAAAAGTTGACGAGGTTCGACCTGATAGATTTTGCTAACATCTACTCTAGCAAGAGCAGTGCTTCGCTGAATCTTGCGACACTCAGTGTGTCCAGCAAAAAACTCAGTGGTAATAGTGGAATTGTTCCTGAACGTATGAAATTCTAATGTATATATTTGATGAAGTATGTATGTAATATCGAGAAGCGATTTGTAATAAAGAGCACTCGCAAAACAATTTAAAAATCAAAGTGCCTATCTGATCAAAGTTGAAGCCTCGACCTAAATAATTTAGATAAAACATCAATTGATGAACATCAAATTAATGCCAAACTTCTTATAAGACAGACAAGCGAAATCTGATTTCACTATAGCCGATAAAGTAATTGATAAAAAATAAGAGCACAAATGCTACTAGTAATCGTTACTAGTTCTCAAATGTAATTCTCGTATTAAGACGAAGCTTTAAATGATATTTTGCTTTCTCGTAAAAAAATAAAGGTTTTTTTTGTGTGCCAATTATTTTTTTCATATTATAAACATTGAGTTTCTCCGGAATTATTTCTTAGTGGTTATTTGTGTTCCATTGCTGATTGTCATTGACGGTAGCTAGAATAATCTCTGTCGTTACGTCTAATTACGACGGCATAAAAAAAAGTCTTATTTATAGACAATTCAATTATATGTAGTTAGAAGACAGGTTAATCTAATAAAGCCTAGAATGGTGTAAATAACAAAGATTCGACGTACACTATTGGTCAAGAAGAATGCGCCTTGAGTCGCGGCCACAAAAGCGGAAAACGACCATTGCGCTCCAAATTGGATAACAGTAAAAGTGATCGCATACATCGCCACGGAATCGGGGCCATTTCCAACAGTTTTCACGGCTCTCCGCGGTTTTGTACGCCATTTAATTTGCGATTGTTCTATTTCTTCGTTATTAACACTCGTTGTTTTGTTGAATTAACAACGGTTTGTCGATTCGAACAGTAACGATGAATATTTATAAATCTGAATATGGCAAGTTAAGTAACTATTGTTCCATTTGAAACATGCACTTACTCTCGGTAAAAAACATTAGTACACATGTTTTTACGCGGAAGTTCGTCTTGTATAAAGTCAGGTGATTTTATACAAGTCGTCCCGGGAATTACAAATGTCAGACAATGTAACAGATTCTTCTCACAGCCTACAAACTTCCATTAATTATTGCGAGTTGTGGTAAAATGCAAAAAAACGGATTAATTGTATTATCTTAAAGAGAGGTGTATTACAACATCAGTACGGTAGTTACTCCTCAGAATCGATTTCAAACGGGATCGATCGAAAATCAATTCGATATTCAATTAACAGTACAGACATAACGTTCCCGCGCTTCTAATATTGCATTGTGTTCATCTAACGAAGATGGGTACGTATCTCGAATCAATCTGTCCAATGAAATAGCGAATTTCCAAAAGAATCGGACAGCCGCGATGCTAACAATCGCTAACTGTTCAGTGCTGCGATGCCACTGACTCTCTCGGCTACAGTTTACAGTTTACGGGAGCAAACGACCGGCCTAGTCAGTTTGCTTTGATCTGAATCGCGAATCAAATATCTAAAATGCCCAGGATCATGACCTCAAGAATCTGATTGTGTCGAAGTGATATCATCTTAACTGCCACACGTTTTGTAACCGTTGTGAATATTTTAAACAGTTTTAGGGCATTATGTAGACATTTCACAGTTATGTTTCGACTAAGATGAAGTGGTATGTTTACGGGGTATTTATATATTATTCAGCCTATTTCTGCCCTGAAACAGTTATGTTGGTACGATTGGTTCTAATGGGCCACTGTCGTTTGCGTATTGAAGTAGAATAAAAAAAGTTAAATATTTTTGTTTATATTTCTGAAGGCGGAAAAATCAGAGTACGCTTTTGCCATCCATTGACATCACAAAATGAAACGAAAAAAAAATGGGTCTTTCAGAATTCTAAAACTAGAATTCGTATTTGTGTCAATGTCACTGTTGACGTATGGCGAACCACTCACCACCAGATGCTCGTCTGCCTATGAGGACAGCTTTTTTTCTCGGAGTATATTTATTCGAATTATTTATATATTTTTTATTTTTTAACTTAGATGGGTCGACTAGCTCACAGCCCACGTGGTTTTAAGTGGTTACTGGAGCCCATAGACATCTACAACGTAAATGCGCCATACACCTTGAGAGATAAGTTCTAAGGTCTCAGTATAGTTACAACGGCTACCCCACCCTTCAAACCGAAACGCATTACTTTTTCACGGCAGAAATAGGCGGAGTGGTGGTACCTACCCGTGCGGACTTAAAAGAGGTCCTACCACCAGTAAAATATCGGGCTTAAAAGAAATGATAAAAAAACTATTATGATTTAGGGTTTATTGCAAAATATATGTCTCTTAATTACTATTGTAGCCAGACCAGCGTACGGTGCATCTGTTTTTAAGTAGCCACCCTCGCCCACGGACACCAGCAACATCAGGGACACTACCAAGTGCCTGTTCACGGCCAACCAAACTGGCTTATTACCGTTAAGAGTTTTAATTAACTTTAGATTTTCAATTAAAAGTTTGTGTGAATCTCACACGTATATATCAACGTTGCATAATACAGTTTTGTGTACAAAACTAGACCGACTACTATCGTGTAGATTGATCAACACGTAAACATGGTCGGCTGCATCATAAATTGTATCATAAAATGATGCTATAATAGTTTTTTGACGCCTTTAGCATTCAAACCAGATTATATTAGGGCTGTCAGATAAACTATTTGTTAGCGTTCACAATAGCGTAGCGCTTTTATTGGCTAAGATGGGCTGATAAACTCACGGTTCACCTGACGTTAAGCGGTTACCGAAGCCCATAGACGTCACACGGATGGTACTAATTAACTCAAGACATAAAATAGAGCTTAAAGTCGTCGTGGCCTAAAGGATAAGACGTCCGGTGCATTCGTGTTGAAGCGATGCACCGGTGTTCGAATCCCGCAGGCGGGTACCAATTTTTCTAATGAAATACGTACTCAACAAATGTTCACGATTGACTTCCACGGTGAAGGAATAACATCGTGTAATAAAAACCAAACCCGCAAAATTATAATTTGCGTAATCACTGGTGGCAGGACCTCTTGTGAGTCCGTGCGGGTAGGTACCACCACCCCGCCTATTTCCGCCGTGAAGCAGTAATGCGTTTCGGTTCGAAGGGTGGGGTAGCCGTTGTAACTATACTGAGACCTTAGAACTTATATCTCGAGGTGGGTGGCGCATTTACGTTGTAGATGTCTATGGGCTCCAGTAACCACTTAACACCAGGTGGGCTGTGAGCTCGTCCATCCATCTAAGCAATAAAAAAAAAAAAAAAAAGCTTGAACTCTAAGAAATAGCGCTTTGATAAAAAAAAGAATTCAAATTAATGCGTAATGACGTGATATGAACTCCTATGGGACAAGCAGGACCTTTGCTATTACTACCGTGAAGCGCTCAGGCATTCGGATTTGAAGATAAGGACGACCCTCAATAATTTTTTATTGCTGAAATTGGTAATATAGCGTACTGTTAAACGTATTAGGTGCAGTCCAAAGGACTCAACTTGTGAGTCCGCGCGGATAGGTACCACCACCCTGCCTATTTCGGCCGTGAAGCAGTAATGCGTTTCGGTTTGAAGGGTGGGGCAGCCGCTGTAACTATATTTGAGACCTTAGAACTTATATCTCAAGGTGGGTGGCGCATTTACGTTGTAGATCTCTATGGGCTCTAGTAACCACTTAACACCAGGTGGGCTGCGAGCACGTCCACCCATCTAAGCAATAAAAAAAAATCAACGTAAAATACTTACTTGTAAGGTACACCCAGGCAAACAAGACGAATTTATAAAAAAATTTTTTTACTATTGCGCTACGGAATCCAAGAACAAAAATAGTTCTTCTGACAGCCCTTGTCTTGGTTATTTATTAGACTCGTAGAGACGTTGCATTAATTTTTTGTTGTTGTGACGCGATATTCTTTTA